TAAATATCGCTTGACCCAAGTTCTAATCAGCTCCACCCCACATCATTAAAGATAGTTGGAAGCCTAGAGAACCCTCAAATTCCTCATCTTTGGAATGTAATTAGACCAGTCCCAAAACCATTGGTGAAAATTGTTTCTGCTCTAATATAAAAAATGTGCCTTGTGTAAGAAGAAGTAATGTTTCTTTTTTGTTTTGCTCAACTGGAATCAAAATTGTAATTTAAGGACCCTAGCCTGGTTTGTATTTAAATAGGCCTTCCATCTTGTATGAGATGCTTAGTGGATCATGGAAGGAGTATGTCATGCAAACAAGAAAACCTAGTTATATAAACTACATAACCCAGTGCAGTTAGTTTCCTTGTGATACGTCTGGCCCTTGGGCCGACAGTTTGACATCCCTGCCATAGGTGATTAGTCTTCTTTAGGGGATAACACTATGATGTCTTCCTGCGACATATAACAAGCTTCTTCTTTTAGTAGACAAGGTTTTCTTGTGTCAGCATTAGAGAGATGGGCCTGCAGTGTTAGATTCCAAGTGAAGTTGCTACCATTTTGCTAATGTTAATTCCAATTTTGCTATTGCAAAGCTTACTGGATGGATAGAATTTAGTATCACCAGGTCCTCATTGTATAAAATCATCAAAGAATTTGTGAATAAGTCTTGGGAATAAACAACTTCTAATTTAAATTCTGTTAAAAATAAAGGGCAAAATGATAATGACTATGCAATGAACCATATAATAATACTTCACTGTTTTCTAGTTTGCTTTTATAAAACTGAATACACTTCATATATATGTATGATTTCCCATTTTCTTTTAAGAAAGTAGTATATGCAGTATGAGTGCCTAAACAGTCTTCCAGACAAGGTTCCCATGATATTGTTTAAATATTGAAAAAGAGGTACATTATATAATTGAGAACTAAGATACTTTTGGCCTTATGGCCAATTATTTCACTTCGGCAAGAGACATGACTATTGTGTTACACTGGGGATTCATTCTGTATTACTGCATATATCCTGCTGTGTTTTACTACTGAAAACCATGTAACTAGTGGTGGGATTCAGCTGGTTCACATCGGTTCGGCAGAACTGGTAGCTAAATTTTGCTGAATTCGAAGAACCGGCTGGCTTCCAGAAGTCCAGTCTAGGCCTCGGAGGCCTGGAGGAGGCCTTCCAGGCCTAGAATGGCTCACCGGAAGTGCATGGATGCCACTTCCAGAAGCCTGTTCTAGGCTTCGGAGGCCCATGCCTGTATCGAATAAGAGAACCGGTTGTTCAGGTATTTGAATTCCACCACTGTATGTAACATATTGTTCGTTAATAACTTATGAGAACATCTATTGAAAATTAAAGTTCCTGAAGTTAACTATGTTGGAATCACCTTATATATTTAGCCATAACAAAACTTGCTTGATGTTGGATTTTTGTGATGTGAGAGCAGTGCTTTTATCACATGGTTTATAATACATTGTGTGAATATGGCCCACATATTGCCTTTAGAAAGTAATATTTTTGCATTCTATTCATTTTCTTATCACAGCTGGTAAGTCAGCTTGCTATGGGCTCATGAAATGTTTTCCTGTATCCCAGACAAATAAAAATGGAGAAAGAGAAAATTACAAGAGGATGGAAAAATTTTTTACTTCTGTATATTAGATCAAATTGCTCTGCTGGAGATATATTAAAGAATCAAAGAACAACTATTGTTCTTGATAAAGAATTTGTGATTGGGCCTGGATTCTAAGTTAAAGTGGAGGTTAATTTTTTATTTAGTATACTGCGTAAATCAATATTGCAATTTGTAAACCATAGTTTATAATTCTACATTTTTTGTGAATCAGAGAACCACATTGTGGTTTATTTGAAATCATGGCTAGGCAAGTCATGGCTTTATGTGAGGTGTGAGACTAGCCTGCATAAATCAGAATTGTTTATGTTCATTCCACCATCATTAAAGTTTACTAATCTCTCTTTTCTCTTTCTTTCTTTGGGCATAATGATGACCCTTTTTTGCCAGTCTTGCTTTGCATCTGCCCTGTGCATTCGGTGTGGGCTTGTGTCCGTTCCTGTCCTATCAGTTGTATCTGCACTGAAGAGAAGAGTTGTGCCATTCTTTGTGACCGAACTGGCCTTGCACAGATCCCTAATGAGTTTCCTTGTGAAGCATATTCTATTAACTTGGATAAAAATAACATCAAATTCCTTGCTGAGAGGGCATTTGGTACCCTCCCAGCCCTAAAATCTCTCTCAATAAGCCATAACAACATATCCTTTATTACTCCTGGTGCTTTCAAAGGGCTTGCTAGCTTAACTGAGTTAAAAATGGCCCACAATGAATACATTCGTTATCTGCATACCAGGACTTTTATTTCTCTCCAGAAACTAGTCCGATTGGATTTAGCAGACTGCAATCTTTTCAACATTCCAGACAGGATTTTTATAGAACTTCCAGCTCTTCGAGAACTCTTCTTCTTTCAGAATAACTTCCGAAGGATCCCAGGAGCTATAAGAGAAATGGAGAATTTAACCCATGTTTATTTGGAGAACAACAAGATAGAAGCAGTAGCATATAATTCACTTCTGGGCCTCATCCGGTTGAAATATCTCAATCTGCAAGTCAACAGAATAAATGTCATTCATAATAGAGCTTTTCAGGATTGTCAGAAACTGGAGTACCTTTATTTAAATGACAACTTTATCGGTGACCTCCCTGATAATTCCTTTGATGGTCTGCGGCATCTAAAGATGCTTAATCTTGGTGGTAACTTTCTCAAAATTGTCTCTAATACTTGGTTCCAGGATCAATCTGAACTGGAAGTTTTGTATTTGGACAGAAACTGGATCAGTTATATTGAGGAAGGTGCTTTTGAAAACCTCACGAGTTTAGTATATTTGCACTTGAACAGTAACAATTTAACTACGTTGCCTTTCTTAGTCTTTCAACCAGTCTATCTCCTAGGAGGACTCTACCTTTTCCGGAACCCCTGGGAATGCGATTGCAAGATTGAGTGGCTGAAAGAGTGGATGGAGAATTATGGACTTGTGAGAGATATTCCTTGCACTTCCCCGTCTTCAGTAGTTGGCCTTGACTTAATTGATGTTATTTTTGAGAAGACAGATGAAGGTTTATGTCTTGACCCAGAAGAATTAAACATCTCATCTTCTACCCCTCTTCCCATGCAAGAACTACAGTCAACTACAGAGAATAAATTCAACAGTCTTATCTCAAAATTTCTACTCCAGAAGGGACTTTCAGAGGAGGTGGTAAACACCACAGAAGGTTTCAGCAACACTACTCTGTTAGATGACTTGATTAATAAAGCATCTTTAGGACAAGGAGAATGGAATATAAAACAAATATATTTTAATATTTGGATATTCTTTGTATCTCAAGTGTTATGGACCATATAGCCCAAAATTCTTTAAAATTAATTCAACTGTTTTTCTACTCAAACAATGGACCCAAAGAAGAAGTTTGTGATATCAATACTAAATTTAGAACTAAATTTAAAAATATCTTCTGGGCCCATATTTTAAAATAGATTCATATTCTTAGCAATGACAATTATTTCACATAGTTAAGAAATTAAAATGAGAGAAAATTGGAAGGTAATAAAGCCAGTTGTGTTTATTAAAGAAGTTCTGCAAAACACATCACAGGTTTCAGCAGTATTACTCAGATATGGAAACAGTACTATAGTATTTAGAGGTTCTGAATGAAATGGAAGCCAAAAAGAGGAGTAACTTCCCCTACAGAGATTTCAGAGACATTTGATACCTGTTGTGGAAAATGATATATTGATTTAGATCAAACAATGTCAAATTCTCAGTTTCATTTTGTCATTTTAACTCTGCTTAAGAGGGAGGTTTGAACCCTGCAGTTAGGGCTGGAGGGCAATTTACTTCTTAATAAAAAAAAACTAATATTCATAGGGATTGATACTAATAGAAGAGACTATTTGTAGCTCAGGGTTGAATTGTTGATACGCTGAAGCATGGAAGATGTAACCTAGTTGGATAATGAAACATCTCCACGAAACAACCAAGCTCAGTGAACACCAAGGACCCCCCAATAGGGATTGATACAGTAGCTGTTGTCCAATTTGTGACCGACTTAAGTAGGTCCTCATATTTTTTTCTATGAAAAATGCCAAAATTATCTCTGTAATGCTTTAAAATAAGGAGCAAACTTATGCACTTACATTGTCTGTGTTACACTCTAGATCTCAGAAACTAAAAGGCATAATAAACAAACTACAAGCTCACTCATGTCCATTTGACTTTTCTTTGCCTGTGGGTGGCTTAGTATGAAGTATTGAATAAAGAGCTGTAGCTATATAGAACAGCGGCATAGATCAAGTATGAATATTATTTTAATAAAAGCTTTAATTTTTTACTGTTGCCCATGGTTTCACATTTTATAATGTAGCAATGCTCAAAAAAGGAATCAATATATGTAGTATACAATGAGCTTTAAGCATCACTCCCCTTCTATAGAACGTAATTGCATTGGTGCTTCCAATGGCCCCCAACCTTACTGGAGTTTAGGAAAGGTTGAAAATATGCTTGTTCTAGTGAGCTTTGGAGGTGGAGATGTTGTAAGGTTGTTCTTTCTTGTTTGTTCAGATTTTTATTAGTATGTCCTGGTATGTAAAACCATAGAACTCAAAGAGGGTGTACTTTCTTTTTCACATGACTGTATGTATAATTAATATAAGAACTGAAATAATGCAAGAACTGAAACAGTGACTTAAAACAGAGCCTCAACTATGGATGTCTGATGTGCAGATGAGGCATTTCTGCATGGTAGGCAGGTAGGATGAAGTTCATACTGACACTTATCTAATTGAAATGCATATTTCAAACAGGGATACCTCAGATTTTTGTTTAGTTTTTCTGACCACCAATCATTGTGAAAAATAATGGTCAAACCCTACTTGCACTTGGAGCATTCTTTGTTACTTTGCATTTCTATTTCCTTTTTAATCCCTAATTCTCCTTTTGGCCTGCCTGAAATTGAGCATTATCTACTGTATCTTTCATGTCTTCCAAAATTGACTAAATAGGTATTGGGGCAGGAGGGAAGAGAAATGTGCTTGGTTGAACTCAGATTATCCAAGTTCTAGCACGGTTTCTAAATAACTGAAGAATAATGACCTAATTCCTCCTTAAACAGCAGTACAGTGAGTAGAGATATTTTTCTAAATAACATGATACTCCTGACCTAGCTGAAACTAGACCTGGACTCCCTCCCCCCCCTCCCCCCCCAAGTTTTTCCATCTGGAAAGCCTTACCCATGAGAGCCTTCCCTAGCAGCCCCCTTCCAAGTGGAAATATTGCCAAAGCCATGCTCTTGAGTGGCAGAAACTGTAGCCGGTGTCTATTTGTTTCACTTCCAGCAGTGAAAAAATCTGATGAGCTTCATCAGATGTGCCTTTGCCTCCCAACACAGGCTGTTCCTTAGAGATTGTAAATGCCAAGCCGCACTCCCATTTCATTGGCTGCCATTCAAGATCTTTCTGCACCCTCTAAACCACGTGCTGCATCCCCATATGTACTCCAAACAGATCTTTTCCCCTACTATTGTCAGAAACATTACCATTAACACACATTTTGCTAGTTTCTCCTTGAGTCCACTTTCCAGCTTTGGAAGTGGATCTTGAAATGATTGACCATGATTTCTTACTGGCTTCCCCTTTGATTTGATTTGTAGGAAGCTGTCAGAGAACATAAAAAATTGTGATCATGTGATCATAGCTCACTGCAACATCATAATTGCTAGCACTGGATCACAATCATATGACGGCAGGGATGCTGTGATGGCGAGAACAGGACAAAACTGCCACTTATTCAGTGCTGTCTTAAGTTTGAATGTTTGGTGAACAAGTGGTTATTAAAGGAGGACCACCTAAAGTCTGACACCAGCATCTACAGCTACTGAAAATGTTGTAAGAAACCTGCTCCTTCAACCTCAAGCTGCCAAAATTGCCATCCTCCAGCTTCTAGTCAGCTCATTATGCTTTCCATCCCACCCATCTCCTGTAGAAACACTTGGACCTTCTATAGCAGTACCAATAGGAGAGCCACTCCTTGGGCTCTGCTCAATTTCCATTAACGAATGATGTTGCAGAACTTGCTGGCAAACATATTGAGAATAAGGCAATTCAGGAGTCTGTCATTACCTCAAGTAATCCAACTGGGGTATGGCCCAATTCTACTAATCTAAGCCCTTCAGTTTTCGAAAACAAGCTAGCTATAAACTCTAGTCTTTCCTCTGATCTCACTAGACATGTTCCAGTGTCACCGTCTGCTAAATGACACTTGCCCTTCCAGTAGCCCCTTCAGCTAATCTTTCTGAATGGCGGATTATATCTGAGAACTCAGTTTTTCTTTCATCCCTAGAGTGATTTTTTTTGCTCCACGAAATATGGAAGCTCAGTTCCCATAAAATTAAACTCTACAGCTATTTCCTTGAGAGTGACATCTGACCTGAAGGATGGCATACTCATGGGGCATGAACACACTTATTTCTTCCAAAGTGTTTGCAATTGTGTCACCCTTTATTCCCACTTTTCCTTAATATGCTCTCTTTGGCCACTGAGTTAAAAAGTATATTGTTAACCTTACTACTAATCAATATAAATATATATCTTCCATCCTGAAGGCCTATTTCACAAATCAGCAGAATTGGGGACAGTTGTGAAGATTGGCTGTTAGAACGGACAGTGCAAAAACAGGCCGCCCCTGCATCTTGGGGCGTGAAAACGGGCTGCTGCCGTGCTGCAGGGTGCAAAAGTGGGCGCTTTTGTGCCACAGGGTGCAGAAACGGGGTGCTGCGCCACACAAGAATGGGGCAGGGCTACTGAATATTACGTGGGCACTAGCCCCGCCTGTTTGCATCACACGCATGCTTGCGACCCTGGGCATGCGCGCGTGCATGTAAAATGCTTCCCCTTCCCTTTCCCTCCAGTCCGCCAACCGAGAAAAGTTGGTGACCTGTTTTAAATGATGATTAAATTAACCAATTAACCAGGGGAAAATCTGCTTTTATTATAACCTTGCTAGCTATAGGCACCTTATTGATTCTTATAAATAGACTAAACTTGCTGTTCACTTGTCACTAACAGCCATTTTCCTTTTTAATTACCTAAAACAATAAATGCAAAACGATGATAAAATCCATGCTTTTAACATACTTTATAGAAATTTCAGCAGATGATTACAAGCTGTAAGAGGAGGGGAAAAAATCATTGATGAATTTCATAAGATTCCTCACGTTTCCTGCAGATTGCAGCCAGGCCCCTCAGGTTTACAATAGGCCCCCTGAAATAAGGGCAATCCTAATAAGCCTCTTAAATCCAATTGTTTCAATGGATCTATAAACTTTACTTTTTTTAAATCTTATAAAAGTCCCTAACGACATTTCTCATAGTATGGGTGCTGTGGTAGGTCTTTTTTTGAATGCTAAATTCATTCTGAGATAAGGAATTATACATAGTATTCCAAATACAGTTACATAACAGATTTATGTAAAGGCGTTTATATAACTTTTGTTTTCATTTCTTCTCCTAAAAACCCACTTCTTTCTCTTTGCTGCTCCAACATTAAAAACAAAATAAAGCAAGCAAAACAAAATAAAACCAGCTAAGGAAGATGAGAAACTTAAGATCATTTTGGAGCTGAATCGGCATAGCACCATTTCCCTAATGAAGTTCTTGTTACAGTAGTGATTTGTCTACCAGAATAAAGCATGAATAGCTGTACAAAACTTGCCAGTTTTGTTTGCTCCATGAAGTAAAACAGACTTCTCCTTTCTAGCATCCTGCCGATATATTTATTTATTAAATTTATATGCTGCCCATCTTGCCAATTGAGGCAACCCTGCATGGCTTACAATGTAAAGGTCTCAGGTTGCAAGTCCCATAATCCCCTATCAGAAAGGCAAATAGGGGTGGACCAAACAGGAAACACAATCAGATGAGCCAATTCTACTTTATTGTAAGGCGACATGAACAGAATATTGCAAATTTGAAAGAACAGTTCCCTCTCTGTCTGCTTTACATCCTGAGAAATTAGGGGTTGTCTTCTGAGTCTCTTGCCTCACCCACTGTCCAGCTGTGGAGCATGGTCTTATAGACTTTCCTAGGCAGCATCTTTGGGCCCAGCTTCCCAAGAAAACTCCCACATACCATCATTACAGTAGTTGACGAATATATTTTTCACTCTTAGGTGCTGGCACTCAGATAAAGATTAGCCCAGTGCAGTCATGGCTGTTCCATATTTCAAAAATAAAAACGATCAGTCACATAATCTGCTAAAATAGCTAGTTGCACTCTGTGAAGATATGAACATCTTAGGGTTTTGAACTAGAAACACAAGTAGAGCTCTGAACAAAAGTAACGCAATTCTGT